GATTTTTCACCTACTTGAAGATAAAATCAATAATAATAATTGACAGGATTTGAATTTTTTTATTTTTCCAATCATTCAAACAAATAACAAAAAATTCTTTTTAGTGAACTTCTAGTCCGAAACACGTGACACATATTTTCTTCGATTTAGCTCTTAGAGATCTATGCCCCTGATATGTTTGTTGTATAATTTGAAATTTTTAACTTTTCCAAAAAATTGGCAAACAAATTACCAAAAAATTGTGGAAAAGATCACTTCAACAATATCACCTAGCATTGTTTCAAAATCCCCCAAATGAAATATGATAAATTTTGATATATTCGAAAAATTTGATTTTAAGCACGAATAATTAAAAAACGAGTCTTCGGATCAAGTTTAAGATTTTTTCTAGGTTTTTCACAAAAAGTGCTCAAAGTCCGTAAAATTGAGAAAAGGAAAAATAAGTTTCAAGCTAAAAGCACTAGCGGTTACACAGTTTCAATATTTTAAACAGCGTTTACCCAGCAAAACTTGGAGATAATTCAAGTTTTGTAGGAACGAACGAACAAAAACAGAAAGTGTTCAGTGAACTGAGTAATTAATAACTCTAGTTTTGCAAAGACGAGTTTAATGACAAGTTGAGCAACAGGGATGAAATTGTGACGGCAGTAACACATTCGTGGTTTCACATTCTCATAATGTCCTAACCTTTGTAACGGCAATATTAAACCGTGCTAATGCGTGGGCCTGATGACGTACGTCGGTGTTTCATGTTCACGTTACGCTATTGTCATCGAATACTAACTAGAATTTTGCATATAAATTCGCCGCATATGTGATCATCCCCTTCGATTTTCCCCGTGCCGATGAATTTCTCTCAATTGTCTGTCAAGTTCCACGACGTGACGAACGGTTATGTTCATGTATAAATTAGCAAGTCGGAGCGCGTAGCTGTAAAAGCCGAATTTAATCGCATGTTAAATTTCCAATTCTATCGGTCACCGTCACGAAAACCCTTCCTCTTTTTTATCTCGTCGGCGTCTCCACTTTACCTATTCGGATCACACTCAAACAAGTCGTTACTTTTGAATTTCTGTTTTCGTCAGCACGCAGAAAAAATCCTGCAAAGCCAATAATCTTAATAAATCCTGCAAAGACACGCCTCGACGTCTTATTTCTTCGAACCTCTTGAAGCGAAATTGGCTTTTTGTTTCTATTATTCGATGCTTTTCATTACGCCTAAGCACTTCGCAGCTCCGTAAAACATCTTTAAAGTTGAAATTTTTCACAAGGCCGATTACCGTTCACTGCAAGAAACACCATTGTGTTCGATTCGTGAGCGAATTCCCGTAATAGACGTAGATATTTTACTGCAGCGTTATTTTTCCTCGAACACAGACGGTCGTTGTATGCAGTCGACGTTCCGGATAATAAATTAACAACCAACTGCATCTACCCAACCACGCTAAAAACGAACGAACAAATTATCAATTAACTAAATTACATCGTGCAATTTACGCCGCCGCTGCAGCTTTATGAGGTTTTAGGAAACATTTTACTCGTCTATAATATTTGCTAAGATAAGACTGATTTTGGGAAGTGACATACCCTCTAAGAATAGTCGTTTTTCCATCTTAGATTTTGCAATTTTTTGATATCGCAATTCTTCTTTTTTTTGTGTTCTTATTTTTTCAATTTTACCACATTTTATAATTTTTTGTTTTTTCAACTTTACTTTTTCAAATTTTCAATTTCTCGACTTCCAAATTTGTCAGTTTTTACTTTCTTGAATTTTAAGGTTTATTTATCGATTTTTCAATTTTTCGTCTCCCCAATTTAGTAAGTTCTTGACTTTTATCTTTCATTTCCCTGATTTTTTATTTTCATTTTCTCGATTTTATATCACAATTCTTCGTTTTTCGATTTCCTTTAATTTTTCAATGTTTACTTCGATTTCATAATTTTTCGTTTATTCTATTTTTGATTTTTCAATTTTCGATGTTACAATTTTAAATTTTCCAATTTTGCAATTTTTGGATGCCTCAGTTATTCGATTTTCCGATTTCTTTAATTTTCAATATTTCGATTTTACAATATTTCGCACTTTTTCGATTTTTAAGTTTCTCAATTTTTAATTTTTCCATTTTTCAAGTTTTTCATATCCAATTTTTAGATTTTCCAGTTTCTTTAGGTACTGAAGATTCTAAATATTCTAGAGATTTTAAAGATTCGAGAAATTCTAGGAATTCCAAAAATTCTAGAGATTCTACAGATCCTAAAAATTCCATGAAATCCACAGCGGTTCCAGCAATTCTAGAGATGCTAAAGATTCTAGAAGCTCTAGAGGTTTTAAAGAATCTAGAAGCTCTGGAAAGTCTGGAAATGCTAAAAGTTTTGTAGATTATAGAAATTCGAGGAATTCTGAAAATTCTATAGGTTCTAAAATTTCTAGAGAAAATTATGGAGAGATTCTGGATTCTAAAGATTCTAGAGGTTCTAAAGATTCAGGAGATTCTAAGGATTCAAGAAATTCTAAAGATTTCAAAAATTTGAGAGCCTCTAATGATGCTAGAAATTCTTAAAATTTTTTAGATTCTGAAGACGTTAAAGATTCTAAAGAGTTCAAGAAATCCAAAGGTGTAGAATTTAATGGTTCTAAAGACTCCAAGAAATCCAACTCAAGCGGTTCCAGAAATTCTAGAGATGGCGAAGATTCTGGAAGCTCTAGAAATTTTAAAGAATCTTAAAGCTCTGGAAACTCTGGAAATGCTAGAAGTTCTGTAGATTATAGAAATTCGAGGAATTCCAAAAATTTCAGAGATTCTGGAAATTCTAAGGATTCATGTTTTAAGAGTTTTAGAAATTTTGAAGATTCTGACGATTCTAGAGGTTCTAGACATTCTAGAGAAAATTATGGACAGGCAAAAGTTTCTGAATTCTAAAGATTCTAGAAGTTCTAAGGATTCAACAGATTCTAAGGATTCAAGAAATTATAAAAATTGCAAAAATTCGAGAGACTCTAAAGATTCTAGAAGTTTTTTTTATTTTCGAGATTTTGAAGATGTTAAAAATTCTAAAGAGTCCAAGAAATCTAAAGTTTTAGAGTATACCGGTTCCAGAAATTCTAGAAAGAATCTTAAAGCTCTGGAAACTCTGGAAATGCTAGAAGTTCTGTAGATTATAGAAATTCGAGGAATTCCAAAAATTTCAGAGATTCTGGAAATTCTAAGGATTCATGTTTTAAGAGTTTTAGAAATTTTGAAGATTCTGAAGATTCTAGAGGTTCTAAACATTCTAGAGAAAATTATGGAGAGGCAAAAGTTTCTGAATTCTAAAGATTCTAGAAGTTCTAAGGATTCAACAGATTCTAAGGATTCAAGAAATTCTAAAAATTGCAAAAATTCGAGAGACTAAAGATTCTAGAAGTTTTTTGAATTTTCGAGATTTTGAAGATGTTAAAAATTCTAAAGAGTTCAAGAAATCTAAAGTTTTAGAGTATACCGGTTCCAGAAATTCTAGAAAGAATCTTAAAGCTCTGGAAACTCTGGAAATGCTAGAAGTTCTGTAGATTATAGAAATTCGAGGAATTCCAAAAATTTCAGAGATTCTGGAAATTCTAAGGATTCATGTTTTAAGAGTTTTAGAAATTTTGAAGATTCTGAAGATTCTAGAGGTTCTGGGAGATTCTAGAGATGCTGAAGATTTTGAAAATTCTAATAGTTCTAAAGAATCCAACAAATCTAACTCGAGCGGTTCCAGTAAATCTAGGGATTAGAGATTCTAAAGTTTTGAAAAATTTTAGAAATCCGAAAAATTCTAGAAATTTTAAAGTTACAAGTTCCAGAGATTTTAGAGATTCTAGAGATTACTAAGATTCTGGTGGTTCTATAGATGTTACTTAAAATTCCAATAAATTCAAGATTCAGAGTTTAACAGTTCCAGCAATTCTAGATACTCTAAAAATTCTAGAAAAACATGTTTTAAGTTTTTTGTTGTGAAAAGATGGCTATATATAATTAAGAAAAAATATGACAAAATATAAGCCCCACCCACCCACCCTATCTCAATTCTGATGATTTTTTTTATTCATCGTAAGCCGAGGGGCGGAGTTTAATTGAAAAATTCTTATTTTTCTACGAGAAATTACCAGGTGAAATATGCTCTGAAGTAATCGTGTTATACAAAGAAAACCAAAAGATGATGAATTTTTCATTCGTTGTCGGACCGAGGGGCGGAGCCTAATTGCAAAGTAGTACTTTGTAAGATAAGACTGATTTTAGCAAATGACATATCCTGTGAGAAAACAGGGGGCGGGTGGGCGGGGTTAACACTTGGTAAGATAAGACTGGTTTTGGCAAATGACATATCCTGTGAGAAAACAGGGGGCGGGTGGGCGGGGCTAGTACTTGGTAGGATAAGACTGATTTTGGCAAATGACATACCTCTGACAAAACAGAGGGTGGGTGGGCGGGTACAGTATTTGTTAAGATAAAACTGATTTTGCCCCTATTAATCTTGTAAAAACTTATTTTTAAAGGTGTTAAACTCCAAATTTCCATAGTAACTAGTTAAATTCCTAAATCTACCCGAAATGTGCAAAATATGATGATATTTTACTTGTGATTTATCATCGCATTCATATTTTTCGATTTGCTTATACAGGTGGCCCAAGGAAATTAATGAATATGTCAATTTATTTTATTGATTAAATCAGGAACAGCTCACGGAATTTTGGGAATACAATACTGTTATTTTTAGTAATACACTGCACCAATCCAAGTTGATATACGTGTTCTTGAAAAAATGTTGATGACGTCATCACAAAATTCTGTAAAGTAAAAACTCAGCTCAAAAATGCTGGAGTTACATTACCACAAATGGAACACATTAATAACACTCATAAACCACACTTCTCGAACAATTTTCACTCTACAAAAGTATAGAACTGGTTAGAGTGACGTCACACGACAAAAACGAGCTGGCTCAACTTTTTTCTTTTTTCAAACGTTATTGTTTTTCAGCTACTACGAGCAGCACGGTCGCGTGCAGTCCTGCAGCTGCACTCCCCCAGACGCCCGATTCTGCTACTACAAAGCCGTTTCGTCCAATCAAGACTCCTTCCGAGCCCCGAACTTGCGACCCGTCGAGGCAAAAACCCCCACAGCTAGCGCTAAAAAGTACCCCATCACGGCCAGAACGCCAAGGTAATTTTTCACGGCAAATTCATCGCATCAGCGCCACAACGGCTTCCCCAAAAAACAAGTGTTTTAACGTCCGCGGCGATTACCAGCGTTTTCGGCCAGATTATCGCAGTTATGTTCTCTTTTATCCTCGCATTGATCTGTTAACGTGCATATGTGGCCCGGACATCCATTAAACAGAGCTTAATAATCTCTGGTACGTTTAAACGTACTGAATTATTGTTGGACGTTGCGGTTATTGCGGGCCGTAAATCGCGCGAATTTAGGTACCTGTAAAAGCAAATTTTGTAGTTTTGCGTAATGGGTTTCTAATCTGGAAGAACTGCACAGGGCAAGGTCGACTGGGTTCGATTCAATCAGAAAGTGCTTTCGAGGCAAATCAGCTTTTAATGGAGAGTTGTACGTGGTGTGGCGCTGGTTATCGGTAAATAGCAACAAAATGGTGATCGAGGCGGTGATAGGAGGCGTTTATATTAAAATTATTTGTGCAAATGGCGTGGGTGGAGGCCGGGAAGGTGACGCACAATACGGCAAGGAAAGAGCGGGTTCTAGGGTGAAAGCTTTTATGTTTTGGTTGTTATTTTGTTCTAATATCTGAATCTATCTATCAGTGGCGTAGCTAACTTCCACTGCGCCCCCCCGCAGTTTATAGTAAGCGCCCCCATACACCAAATTTAAAAAGTAATATAAAATTAATATGAAATTACTGGTTTACCAGTAGTGGCGCCGAATAGCACAGATTTACAAATAATAATAATTTATACACATAATAATTTTTAAAAATTGTTAATTGATTATATTGGCTTCATTCGACGTTGTCGAGAGTTCATAAATTCGCGTATGACACTGTCGAGATCTAATTTTTGGGATCGATCAGACTCAATGCTAAGTTGGTTAATCGTGTTTGACTTATCGTGCTTCCCAAATATGACTTAATTAATTTTAATTTAGAAAAAGATCTTTCTGCCGATAAAGAAGTCACTGGAAGTATTAAAAATAGAAGGGATCTTTGAAAACGGTATCTTCACATAATTCATCATGAAACAGTTTTACTTTTTTTATACGTCTATTTCAAAAAGAATTGTTAATTTTCCAGGTATCAGCACATTTCCTTGATTCCTCCATTATTTGTTCAAAATTGTCACGTAGGTATACTTTGAAATTTGTCTTTTAGATGTTCCATCCATTTACAAGCCTCATCTAAAGTGATATTTGAACTCTGTAAAGTTTTTGAGACCAAATTGACATTTTCTAAAATTTTGCAGTGAAATACTAATACAGCAACAAATTCAAATGAATCCATTTTTTTACGAAGATCTACAGCTTCATCTATTTCACTTTTCTTTTTTGATGTTAAAATAATTTTTGACAAACAGCTCATATTTGTTGAGAGATTATATCTAATGGCAATTAGAAAATCAAATCTCGACGACCATCTGGTGGGGCATAACTTTTTTAATTTTTTTTTATAACACACTTATCATTTTCTTTCATCTCAATGTTATGTTGTTGCCATCCATTCTTAACAGAATCATTAAGGACTAAATTGAGGTTCTGTGTAGCGCAATGAACATATTCGGCGTAATGATGTTGTTTCAAGTTCTTCATTTTCCCGATTTTTTAATTTTCATTTTCTGGATTTTATATCACAATTTTTCGTTTATTCAATTTTTCACATTGTCAATTCCTCGATTTTCCAATTTTCAATATTTAGATTTTACAATAATTTTCGTGTTTTCGACCGCAATTTTTCGATCTTTAAGTTTCTCAATTTTTAATCTTTCGATTTTTGAATTTTCCGTTTCTTCAATTTCTCAAGTTTTTAGATTTCTCGAAGCTTTGCTTTTATACTTTTGCGTTTTTTCATTTTGAGTTTTCAATTTTACAATTTTTCTATTTTATAACTTTTCCATTTTGTTTATTCGGAAAGTAGAAACTTCGAAAAATTGAAAAATCGGAAAATTAAAAAATTGGAAAAAATTGAAAAAACAAATTGCAAAATCGATAAAACGGAAAATCGAATGGAAATTGTTTTTACGATTTTTTAACTTCGATTTTTTAAATTTTTTAATCTGTATTTCAATTTTTCGATTTTTGAAATTTTCTGTTTACCGATTTTTTTAGTTTTTCGATTTTTCCGTTTATCTTTTTTTTAAGTAAATATTTCAATTTTGAATTTTCCGATTTCGGCCTATTTCGATTTCTCGATCTTTTGAAGTCTCAAGTTTTCGATTTCGATTTCTTGGTTTTTCGATTTTCAAAATTTTCGATTTTTCTGGTATATATTTTAAATTTTCGATTTTTAAATTTTCCAGTTTTCGCTTTTATAATCTTTATGTTTCGACTTCCCGATTTTTATTTTTTAATGTGTTTCAATTTTTCCATTTTTGGAATTTTCGATTTCTCATATCTCAATTTTCCAATTTTAAAAATTTTTCGATTTCTCGATTTTTAAATTTTTGGCTATCTCAATTTTGAACATCGCAATTTTGGAAATTTTTCAATTTCTATATTTTTCAGATTTTCCATATTTTCATTTTCCCGATTTTGTAATTTTCATTTTCTTGATTTTATATCACAACTTTTCATTTTTCCATTACCTTTATTTTTTCAATGTTTCTTTGGATTTTATAACTTTTTGTTTATTCAATTTTTTACATTTTCAATCTTTGATTTTTTAAGTTCTTGATTTCCAATTTTTTTATTTTCCGAAGCTTTCATTTTGTACTTTTTCAGTTTTACAATTTTTCTATTTTATAATTTTTCGATTTCGTTTAATCGAAAAGCTAAAAACTCGAAAAAGTGAAAAATTGAAACAATGCAAAACTAAAAACCGAGAAGCTTAAAAATCTAAAAAAAAATTAATGAATCGAAGAATGGGAAAGAAGAAAAACCATTCGAATTGAAAAATTGGAAAATCCAAAAATTGTAAAATCGAAAAATTATAGAATCTTGAAAACTGTAAAGTCCGAAACTGTGACATTCAAACACCGAAAAAGTGAAAAATTCCAAAAACGAAAAACTGATAAAGTGAACAACTTTAAAAATTATAATTATTAGGAGTGTTACATAATTAAAATGAAAACTAGAAAAACTGTAAATGAAAAATTAAAGAAACGGAAAATTGAAAGCCGAAAATTGAAAAAATAAAGAAAATTAAAAACCCACACGAAAAATTGCAAATGGAAAAATTGACGAAATTAAAAACTAAAAACTCGTGAAATTTGCAAACTCTAAAATTTGAAACATCTAAAAGTTGGAAAATCAAAAACTGAAAAATCGTAAAATCGAAAATTTTCAAAACTGAAAAATCGAAAGATTGAAAAATCGAAATTTTGGAAAATCGAAAAACCGAGGAATTCAAACTGAAAAAATAAGTGATTAATTTTTTTGAGACACCCCCTATAAGCAATACTAAAAAATATTAATGAATGAATGATAAAAAGTATAGTCTCATCCTATTTTGGACATTTTAGATAGGATCCATTTGGCAAAATTTTGGGCTGACGTGATCAATTTTTTGGAGGGGATGAGTAAATATATTTTGAATAAAAATGTATTATGCTTATCATGTGGTTAAAACATCTGCAAGGTTTCAAAGCATTCGGTTTTGCAGATTATGCAGATATAAAGAAAGACACTTCAACCTGAGTTTAGCGTAAAAAAAAATCTATTTTTCTGCATAAACTATCAAAGAACTAATTTTATTCCACAGCTAAGTACCTTGATAAGTTTTAAAATAAATTAAAACACCCATTTACAGACTCCGAAACAAGTTTCTCTTGCTTTTCCAGGAACAGCTTTGATGTGTTAAATACACCAAGCCCTCCTACAACTTTCTTTTTTGAGTTCTTTTCCTGCATCAATTAGTTGGTGTTGGGTTTTCGTAAAAATGGAGTTCAAAAGTGTAAAAGTATTTTAAAAATCGTTTATCATCTAGTATTCTGTGCCATTTCCAAAAATTCCAAAAGCCAAATCGTCTTTATTTTCGTCATATATTATGCCTTTTTTAATTGCAAAATCCTTAATTCTCTACAAGAAATTACGACCTAAGACATGTTTTTGGGCATCGTCTGTTCAAAAAATACTAGGTGTATTAACAATTAAAGCCAGATTGAAACCGAGTCAGATGGGTGGGGCTTATTTCTTTGCTTTTTTTTTCTTATTCTATACATATAATTTGCTTTGAACAACACGATTACTCAAGAACATGATTCACATAGCAATTTCTAGTTGGAAAATAAGGATTTTGCAATTAAGCTTATGCTTTTTTTCCTAATACACGTAGTCATCTGTTTTAATTTTTTGTTGTGAAAAAATGACTATATACTCGTATTTCAAGAAACGAAAAGAAAAAATATAAGCCCCACCCGCCCGCCCTGTCTGTATTGTGATGATTTTTTTTTATTCGTCGTGAACCAAGAGGGCAGAGCTTAATTGCAAAATCCTTAATTCTCTATAGGAAATTACCATGTAAGACATGTTTTTGAACATCGTGTTGTTCAAAAAAATACAATGTGTATTAAAAATTAAAGCCAGATTGAAACCGAGGCAGATGGGTGGGGTTTATTTTTTTGCGTTTTTTTCTTAATATATACATATAATTTGCTTTGAACAACACAATTACTCAAGAACATGATTCACATAGCAACTTCTAGTTGGACACCAAGGATTTTGCAAATAAGCTCCGCCCCGCGACTTACGACTGGTAAAAATAAGATGACCACGATTGAGATAGGGCGGGTGGGCGGGGCTTATGCTTTTTCTTCCTAATACACGTAGTCATCTGTTTAAATTTTTTGTTGTGAAAAAATGACTATATATTTCAAGAAAATAAAAGGAAAAATATAAACCCCACCCGCCCGCCCTGTCTCTATTGTGATGATTTTTTTTATTCGTCGCGAGCCAAGAGGGCGGAGTTTAATTGCAAAATCCTTAATTCTCTACAGAAATTACCATGTAAGACATGTTTTTGAGCATCGTGTTGTTAAAAAAATTCTAGG